GTGATTAATAACTTGATGAGGTAGTGTAACGTAAGTTTCAGCCTATCAGAAACAAATGAGACTTCTTTTGGTACAGATGTAACATGTGCAATGAGATTTTAGAACAAACAAACAATGTCAAATTACTGCATTAGTTGTAAGTGTAAAGACTAAAGATCTGTCGCATGTTGTCTGCACCGATACCACTTTTTAAGGTTCAAGTATTGTTGGGATTATGTTTCAATGATGAAGTGAATGAGGAAGCTCTCAGTTTTACTTCATCATGAGGATTATTTCAACTCCTTCAGGTGCGCTACATCAGCAAATACACAACTGAGTCTTCCAGGACCAATTTGCATGAAATGTACTGACAAGTGCTATAGCCAATAAGAACACATGATACATTGTATGTGGCATATGATTGGTTCCTACTGCAGCAGAAGAAAACTACAAGTAGGAGTACCTTCTGGTACTAGGTTAGTTTTTCTCTCTTTTTATTTCTGTGATGTGGCAATTTTCCAAGAACAACACAGTAAGAGTAATGACTATAGGACAGTGTCTTTATTACAAACTTCAACTCAAACACATTATGAAAAAAGGAATCATTCGTATTGTCACAAATTTTCAACGCACACATTTCACAGTATCCAGTAACCTCCAAAGGGCATAATAACCAATGGCTGATAAATGTCAATTTTACCTGCCTGTCAAAAAGTTGTTATAAGTCCCATAATAACACAGTGTAACAATGTAATCACAATGTAATATTAAAATTTATAATAAACTAATAATGTGACAAAAGTATTCTGACACCTCTAAAAAACTATTGCACATAAAAAAAAATTGGTTCCACTGGACCAGCAACTACACAGGACTGAAACACAGGCTCTACTCTTCAGCACAACGGTGACCCAAAATGTTTTATTTACAGTGTAGCCAGTATAAACCTGTTTTATAACTTACAGTTTATTACTGTTAAAATATAGCCTGACTTCGTCATACTCCTCAGACCGCTCCGTTGTGCTTTGATTATGAGGCGTGTCGTAACCGAACCAGGAGAAAAAAAACCCTCTGCACTCAATTGGATAGTTGGTAGACCTACAACCAATCAGAGCAACGCAGTAAGTCAAATACTTTGCATAGCGCAGTTTTCAAATACAGAACTTACTTATTTTAGAAGTTAAATAACGAGTTTTGCTTCTTTCTCTTGGTTCTCCATGAGTGCGACCAAAGGAGAAACCACAACGACCACAGGCTTTTCATTACGTCCCATCTTCTTAACGACCGCCAGAGCCAGCTGATAAGTTACACTTTTCCCGAATATCTTTCCGATCAACAAATGTTTTGATTGCAGTTTTCTGTTTGTCTATTAAAATGAACACACTGTCGATTTATTTTACAAAAGACGCGACAACAGAATCTATACATCTCAATTCTCCAGCTGCCGTCATCTCTGAGGGAAACCAGTTAGCGCTCTTTGATAACGTGATGATTACGTCCCTGCAGATCATCTGTCCATCATCGTATAAAGCCCACCATGGCAATCTGATTGGCCCGATCAGTTTTTGCCTGATCATAATTACTCCTCAATGGATCGAGTCCAGACCGAACTTCCCGACCAAAAAATGTTGTGGGCGGAGTTCGGGCTGGCATCAAGGCTAGTTAAAAAACATTTAGTTTGTCTTTGTATCTTACACAGTTTACCCTTTCAACCCCCATAGGAAAATACAGACCACAAAGAGTAAAAAAGCAGAGTGATGATTGATTGAGTGATGATTGACCATTATTGAAGACACCCGATGTTAACAAGCAGAATTTACAAAGGAGAAAAAAAAATCACAATTTAATCACCAATATGGTAATCGGTATTTGGTAATCGGTAGCCTTAAACTAATAACATTATATTTAGTTTGTCTGCTGTAATTGAGTTATAACTATTGTTGAGCATTAGTGATGAACACCTGCTGTTAACAAGCAGAATCACTGAAGGAAACAGGAACACACTAACAGAAAATAGAAAAACACAAGATCTACAACTGACTTCCAGCCTTCACGTATTATTATTATTATTAACCAGAATTACTTTGTTTTTGTAATACATCTATAGATGTTGATGATATGTTTATTTAAAAATGTTTGATTTGAAGTTACCATTATACAGTCCTTTCAGAAAAAGAGTTTTTTTTTGTGATTGTTGCAGGCAAAAATCCTTGATTATCTTGTTTTATTTCAGACTGTAACGAGTGGAAATAAGGTGTGGCCCCTTTAAGAGCTGCACGCTCTCTGTTGAACTGTCTGCAGTAGGGGTGTAACGGTACACACAAATCACGGTTCGGTACGTACCTCAGTTTTAAAGTCACGGTTCGGTACGTTTTCGATACAGCAAAAAGAAAGAAATGCCAGAGAAATTTCCTATTTGTTTAAAAAAAATATTTTTAAATAAGTGTGAGTTTTCCTAGATCTTGAAACTTTCAGGTTTATAAATAGGGGTCATCTTTGAAGGATGAACAAATAATGTTTTGGTCATCACATTAAAAATAACTTTTAAATATATATTTATTTATATAATATTTGAATTTTGAAGTGCTGGAAAAAGATGTGTGAAGTACTTGAAAGCATTTCACCATTCCAGCCAAACTGGTTCCAGTTAGTGTTACTATATTAAATCCATGGTGAATGTTGCTGGTCTGTGGACGTAAAGTATTACTAGTTTATTCACGGCACAATGTTTCTCCTGGTTTCCATGACAGCGCTGTTTGATCTAATAGAGATCTACGGTTAATAACGGAGAAATGTGAATGCATCTCACTAGATCTCGCAGCGATGTTATTACCCGAGTGGCGAATTCAAATGTTTTCTTGACCGGATCTCTTAGCGCGGTGTGGTAACAGTGTTGCTTGATCGAGATCGGCTCGCGCTGCACAGATATTGCTGGCCTGGTCCGAACTGATAAACGATCCGTGAAGCACATAACGAGTAGCGCAGTTTCGTTCTGCTTTCATTACGCTTGCCATTTGGATGTTGTGCAACGTTGTGTTGGCCGCGTCAGCACGAATTTTGCCGGCAGGAAAAATGGTCCAAGCAATCGTTCGGTTTCTATGCGTACCGAACCGGAAGCCTCGAACCGAAACGGTTCAATACGAATACATGTACCGTTACACCCCTAGTCTGCAGTATTAATGTATTGTATTTGCCATAGACCGTGTGACAAACAGTTTCACAAGTTCGATTTGGGAAGTGCGAATCGCCTCTGTGAGTCTGTCTGGCCTCTGCAATAGTTTTTCTTCCCGACACACACAACCCATTACAAGATCTTAATAAACACATCAAACTTACAAAACATTGATGTGTCAAACTAGTTCTGTAGCTTTACAAAAGGAATATGCTACAACTTCTGTAAAAATTAATGAATGAAATGTAAAAAAATAAAGTGTGCTCCTGCTGTGTAAAGTGTGTTTTACCGCTTTCCGATGATGTTCACGTCACGTAATTACGTCACTTCATAACGTTCCCATGGCAACAGGGGGAAATGGTTGCTCTTGTGTGAAGCAAACGCAACATTTTTCAACTTTCTGCTAAGATGTATGTGATTTTTTTTGCAATGAAATACAAGGATTACGAAATCATGCAAGCCCGGAAATCTGCAATTTATGAGGCGAACGTTTGGCGCATTTGAAAAATGCTGCCCCCACGTGAAAATGCAGACTTTGGCCAATTATGCACTGAATCATGCGATCGTATAATCGTGTTTTTCTGGAGGGACTGATTATAGAGATCAGTGTGTTTTTTTTTTTTAGTTGAGATGCTGACCCTTGACCTTTTAACATTAGTTTTTCTCTGGCTGCTTGAACTGTGTTTCGTCAGGTCACACTTGTGCACAGGCACGGTTTGAGAATAATTGCGGTTATATTGATTATGATGACAATATAGCTTGTTATTTCACTAATCTCATTCAGAGTTTAACCCTCTGTCAAAAGTGTTACATTACCACTAAATTGAAACTACAGGACACATTTTTTAACACATATGTACAACCAAAAAGACAGAGAGACATTGTCTTGTAAAAACACAGAGATATCAAACATGCATCGCAACAATGGTGGCAATACTTTTTGTATTCATTTATTCATTCATGCAGCAGTGCATGCTGGGAATTTTATACTATCCTAGAACACATTGTGACATGAAACTTTTGATTGTCACCATTGTTGAGATTCATATGCTGATTGTTGATGTCTGTGTGTGCCTGAGTCATGCAGGAATTCAAAATATTTTAATGCACTGTTAAAGGATTAGTTCACTTTTGAAAAAACTTTTGCTGATAATTTACTCACCCCCATGTCATCCAAGATGTCCATGTCTTTCTTTCCTCGAAAGAAATTAAGGTTTTTGATGAAAACATTCCAGGATTTTTCTCCATATAATGGACATGGGAACCAGTTGGTCGGAGGTCCAAACGACATTTAATAACAGTTTCAGATGCCGCTTCAAATGTCTTTAAACGACACCAGATGATGAATAAGGGTCTTATCAGGAATTAAAAGCTAGCATTGCTCTATTCTTATTCCGAAAATCTAACTTTTCTAAGGACAAATGCTAGCATTGCTCTATTCTATGAGGCGCGTTTGTTACGTCACGTAATATGTAATTACGTATAAAAGGTCACGGGCGATGTAGCCGGAAGTACAGAGTCAGAGTGTTTACAAGTTGAACGCATAGGTTGAACGTGCAAACTAACTCAAACGCCGTTTACAAAAAAGGAATTAAAAGGTAAAACAACGATGTCGGACGATTTTGATTCTGTACTTCCGGCTACGTCGCCCGTGACCTTTTGAACGTAATTACGTATTACGTGACGTTATAAATGTGCCTCACAGAATATAGCAAGGCTAGCATTTGTCCTTAGAAAAGTTACATTTTTGGAATAAGTTTTGAAATAACCGATCGTTTCGAATGATGAGACCCTTTTTCATCGTCTGGTGTCGTTTAAAGACATTTGAAGCTGCATCTGAAACTGTTATTTACTGTCGTTTGGACCTCCGACCAACTGGTTCCCATGTAAATCCATTATATGGAGAAAAATCCTGGAATGTTTTCATCAAAAACCTTAATTTCTTTTCGACTGAGGAAAGAAAGACATGGACATCTTGGATGACATGGGGGTGAGTAAATTATCAGAAAAAGCTTTTTCAAAAGTGAACTAATCCTTTAATTTCATTATCCTTCATAATAATTGATTACTGAACATTGCTGGATTTCATGTTGTAGATTCACAGATATATGACAAATATGAAATACCCATACATTCAAAGCTTATACACAGGATGGATATGATATCATCACAACAGCCAAAAAACACCTGATCAACTTTCTCTGGACTTTTTCTTGCTTGTTTTATAAAATCACAGTTAAAGCAGCCAGAGACAAACTACTGTTATAAAGTCAAGGGACAAGAGACCAACTAAAGCAAATACTGATCTCCATCATGGTGACAACAAACTTTATTAACTAAATCTCTAAATTCTCAACAAGACCTTATGTACATGTATGAAAGAAATAATGTTACACTGGTTTGTAAACAGTTTTCACACTCAGTGTTGCTGGAAGTCAGTTGTAGTTCTTGTGTTTCTGTTTTTCAGTTCTTGTGATTCTGCTTTTCATCGGTTTCATCGGTTTCTCAATTCACTCACTTCTTTTCAGTCAAATGGACTATATTAGTGAACTAATGCAGTGAATAGTGAATGAGTTAATAGTACAAGTCGCAAGCATTTCCTCAAATATGCTCGTGATCGCTTGATCCGTGTGCGAGCCTTGGAATTGCTTTGCATGAAGCATGATTTGAAATTGCCATCTATCTATTGTGCCGTTAAGCTGATGAGAGACTTACACTACAACTCCAGATGTCAGTAGTCAGGTTTTTTCCGTTCTCCACACGGTGCCAACTCACGCCTGGAGTATTTCAGAAGCAAAGCGACTGGATGCGCGTGACAATGTGATTTGCCTGTCTGAAGTGTTTTTTCTTGATTTTTGGGTGTCTACCAAGGATTTATTGATGTGCAAGGAGTTTGCACAGGGTGTTTATTTTAGAACTTGACAGGATCTTTTAACTTTTATTTTGTATTTATGGTGCGGCTTTGTCGCAGCCTCCGTCAAAAATAGACCAGGCGCCAATCTTTAGGGAAGTGGCATAGAGAGCCGCTTCTGAAGCGCACCGCGGCGTGGCTGGTGTAAACACAAGCGTTGAGTAGAGTGGTCGCGATCAGCTCCAAATATCAGTAATAAAGCTAGTAGCTTTTATGTCATGCTGGTGATGTGCTTTTTCACTGTGTTGTATATCTGTGGTAATACAACCTCTGTGACATAGCGGGGTTTTAATTTCAGATGTTTTATCAGGTTACTTGTATTATATCATGGCCTTTTTAACCACCTCAATATTAATGCAGCACAAAGCGTGCAGCTTGCCATGCATAGGTCGTCATCATATAATTTTAATATTTCCACACTGCTGAGGCTGACGTTGTGCGACTGTGCACTGGAAAGTGCTGTCAGTTAGGTGAGGTATCGGAGTATTTTTATGAGTACAAGTACAAATACTCGCGCTCAGTATTGGTGCATCCTTATCATGTTGTTCAACTGATTATATATTTTGGACTTTTTTATTGAATCAAGTCGCAGAGAGCAGCTTATTTACATCAGTAAATCTGCAGGTGCTTTTATTTAAAGTGGCTTGCCGTGAATTGAAGCTGAATGTTTGATCAGTGTGTTTGTTGATTAGGAATCGAACCTGTGAATATCAGCAGATGTGCAGCTCCATACGACATGAACAGAGTCTCAGGATTGTGAAGAATCTCTTGCAAGACGAAAGGAGTCACAGAAGATGATCATCTGAAGACTTAGAGAAACAGAATATCAACATGTCCAGGCCAGACATCACAGGTGATGAACACAGACACGTCTGAATCTGACATTAATGGTTATGTAATCCCATCTATACAAGTCAAATTTCTTCAAGCTCTCTTTCATCATACTCAAGAATTAAAGGGGGGGTTTACTGCTTTTTTTCTTTGCATGATTGTGTTTATGGGGTGCAATATAACATGTATTCGTGGTTTTTCTTTTTTTTTAAAGTCTTATTTTTCATAAACTTCACGTTTATTGTCAGCCGCGCTCTCCTCTGTCCTCAAACGAGCGGTTCACTTCCTGAGTCTATGAAACCACTCCCTCAGAAACACGTAGTGGGCTCAGATTGGTTAGTTTGGGCCGGTGTGTTGTGATTGGCTAAACTGTCGCTCACGTTGTCTTAACGCCCACTACCTTTTACGGCCAAAGTTGCATGTGTGTTCCTGTCAAATGTAAATAATGGTGTCAATACTGTAGTGTGAGCCAGAATCAGACCCAGAAAGAGTCAAGCAGAACCTCACCACACACGACTCTTACAAAACGTTTCTGAATGGTAATTTGCTATATTTTTTTAACTTTATACACGTTTGTTTTACACAATAGCATTGAACTGAATGGCTACTATAATGTCATACTCAAACAGCGGTGGCATGTTTACGTTCTTGATCAAATCGAAAATAACGTCATAAAACATACATGGAAAATACATTTACAACATTAGCACTTATACAAAATTCAGGTCAATAATGTTTGTACGTGTTTGTCGTAGACACAAAATAGCATAACTAATAGCCTAGTGGCTATAAAGCCAGCGCTGGCATCTGAAAAAAATAAAACACAAGGCTACGTCTGGAATTATAGATGCAAATACATTTAAAATGATTAAGTCTTAGCCTACTTACAGGTTGTGGCCCAACAACTGCTCCCTCTGGTTTTAAAGCTGGAACTGCTTCACGTTTTAGTAACAGTTTCTTGTTGAATCCGGTGTTGAACTCGTGGAGATTCTGGAAGCTGTCTTCCATAAATGCGCAGCTCAGAGAGCTAGATTACGATCGTCACTTTCAGGAACGTAATCAAACATAAATTGTATCCATTGTTGACGAAGTACAGCGTCCGTGGGAAGTTCGAAGACATAAGACCTGACAGCTGCGTGAACACAACGCACTCGACGAGTATGCGCATGGCCTTTCCTGCATATTCCGGAGGGAGGGTTGATGCAAATGTGTGGGTTAGTGACGTCTAAAACCAAGCTGTAGTCCCAATCGAGTCGTTTTTGTAGGCAATTATACTTCCTGGGCCCGTATTCATAAAGATTCTAAGAATCCTCTCAGAAAACTCTTAATTTAGCTTAAAAACTTTTACGTAGGGGTCTTAGTTTAAGAGTGATTCGGGACTGATCTGAGAGCAACTCTGAGTAAGGAAAAGATAAAAACTTTCCTCTAAGTGAGGAGGTGGGGCTGACCCTGTTGCTATGTATGACACACTCTTTTGAAGACTGTGATTGGCTTGAACAAACCATAACATACAAATTATGCCAAAATGTCATTTTTGTCGAGTGTCCTCATGTCACACATTGATTAACCGGTGGGAAAATATCAGTTAGTTTGTGACGTCAGAAACACCCTTTAGTATCCAGCTGTAGACCTGCAGCACAACAGTTTCAGAACCCCAACGCCAGAACCCAGCGCCAGAACCGGAAGTAAGAGGCGGAGCTTACGTTCTAGCTTACGTTCTTTGGCACTCAGCGAAGGCGGTCGCATTTTCTCTCCCTCTCCCTCCCCTTACCTTTCCCTGCTTTGCTTCTCTTAGGGTTGTGCCGATAGACGATAGTATCGTGTATCGACGATAGTCTGACATATCGCCGATGGCAGATGCCTTTGACGATATCAATACGATAATTGGCTCGTTTTACCATAATGTATTAAATTATTATTATTAGGCCTATTATTATTATTATTATTATTATAAAGCTAGTATTGTTATTAAATGAATATTAGGAACTTCAATTAATTTGCCTTGCCTAAATTTACAACGACAATTGCAACAACACACGCACTAATGAGGACTCCTCTAAGAGAATGTTTTTAAAACAGACTAAAAAACATCCCACATCAAAATTCAATCGCAAGGTGATCCATTCACAAATTATCAAGTGTGCTCGTTTTAACAGACGCAAAATTCAATTTCCTACAGATCCAAGATGAAAACGGCATCGTCGTTGTTCGTCAGTATTTGTTTCTGTAACACATTAACAAAACGTTTAATGACACTAACACTAAAAACAATACAATTACTAAATAGTATTAATAATAATATCACTAAAATAGTATTATAGTTACCGTTATCATCGTCGTCTCTGAGGGAACGCGGCGTTAATGCAGATGCCGAAAGCAGTCCGTTTTTACTTTCACTTTCAGAGATTGAGCGCGTTTACATGCGACGACGTTCTTAACCTGATTATGTTGAATAAACTTGACAATGCATGTGGTCATGTAAACGTTTCCTTTATCTGAGTCAAGTCATAAGTATAAGTATAAACCGATCGACTCAGCTAGACGTTTGGCCCTTGCTCTTGTTTCTATCGGCATTTAAAACACATTAACCCGCGTACTTCGTGCTTACTGTGCGCATGTGAAGTGCGCAGAGAGCGCACTGGTAGGGGGACACATATCGCAAACTCCGACTCTTTCTGACCCAAGAAATTATTAAAACGTGTTTTCATCTCGTGCAGAAATAGACCAAAATGCTGCATGTAATGGCATGAGAATAGGCTAATGTGTCCGTAAATTTCCCGTTGACAAACAAAAGGATTAGGATCTCTTTTTTTTACTTCACTATACCAGGAAATAACCTGATCCTATTAATAAACACTCCACCTTTGCTAGCAAAATAGAAAACAGATTCTCGTATATAAAACGAAGTAGGCTAATAAAACAAGCAAATTAATGAGTAGGCTAAATAATTAAGTTAATAATCAAATAAGTTAGCCCCGCCCCCTCACGATAATATCGTGTATCGCCGATCTCACAGGCTGACGATAGGACGATATGAAAATGGAGCATATCGCCCAACACTAGCTTCTCTCGTCACGTCTAGTCTACTGTCTTGTACTTTGAGAGACTCTCTCAGCACTGCTCTCCAAACTAAGAAATTATGGATTTGATCAACTGGTCTCTCAACGCAATTGACACTATTTTCTCGACGAGAAGCTTGGGTTTGGGGGAACCTGTCTGCCCTGCCGGAACGTTCGCAGCTGGCTACACGATGGACGCGTGGGAGAAGTGGCGGATCGTGTGTCTGGCGGAAAGAAACATCTATTTCCGTGGAGGACGTTGAAGATATCTACCTATTCGGAACCATGATAACAGGTCTTCTGCTGATTGGATTAGGCATTGCCCTGGTTTATCGAGGAATTAAAAAGACGACGGCAGCTGTCCAAAGCCTCACAAGGCTGCCCGTCATGATTGAAGCGGTGGGCAGAGCTGCCAGCACTGGGACTGTGTCTATGAACCAGAATATGGATAACATCATGGAGAAGCTTTCAGCTTTGCAGAAGGATTTGGATCGTTTAGGAGACCAGAGACAATGAGAATTAGCCGTGTAAATTGCGGCTTTTCGCCTCAAGACCAAACAATCCCAATCTTATCTGTTTTTCTGCCGCCCTCAACCAGCACTGGCCTTGGCCAAGACCGCTGCTGGATCAACAACTCCCCCGGAAGAGCACTGCAGTGAGCCGCTCTTGCGTTTCTTCCCCGACTCCACAGACACCTGGTGATTGTTGTCTCTGTCTGGCACCTGATCATGGTTTTCTCCATGGTAACTTGCTGTGTATCGCTATGACAATCCTGCGGACTGAGGCGCCTAGATTATGATGCCAGGCATAGCGACTCTCCAGCCCTACACACACACACAAACTATTACACATACATACAGATATGCATTAACCTGCCCCACACCCCATCCCTCGTCTTCACTGCTGTGTACCCCCAGTCTGACAGGCGGGTCTGTGACCAGCGCCGAGAATGGCTGCAGGACCGGATGGCTGCTTGCCTGTGCTGGGTCACCTCCACCCCCCACTCCCGTACCCTGTTGCAAGTCTTGTCTGTTCATTTTGTAGAGTGTACTGATTATGTGCCAATGTTGCTGAGGTGTTTTTTTTTACTGTTCCCAAACTGTATTCCTCACAGGAGCATAGTATGGGGGTTAAAAGGGTTGCCTTTTTTTTCTCCTCACCTCTCCTCATGTTATGCTGTATTTCTTCCTCAATGCTCTGTCTTCCTGTCCTGTCTACCCCCTTGTTTTATTGTATGTCTGATGGATAGGTTGATGGCTAATTTCACTGGTACTTGTGACTAAGTGACAATAAAAGACTACTACAACTATAATGCAATAATAATCATTTCGACCCTCTCTCACTTCCGGTTCTGGCACTGGGGTTCTGAAACTGGTGGTGCTGCGGGTCTGCAGCTGGAAATATCTCGAAACACCAGCGATTTCAAAGACTGTCTTTGGTTCACTGCAGTTTTAAGCAGAAAATACTCAGCAATGTTACCGACTTATTCATTTACACATGGCTAATTAGAAGCTAATTAAAAACACCACATAGACAACATTAAACGCTGGATTTTCACCAGGGCGGTTTGTTTTTTTTTTTTACATTTTTTTTAAGAATGTTACTTTTTAGATTCAGATTGTATATCTTTATACAGAATCATTTAATTAATTCATTCCTGTAGTACACAATAATGTTCACCAGATTCACTAACAATCTGTGTGTGTGTGTGTGTGTGTGTGTGTGTGTGTTTATTTTTCAGTGGAAAGAAGAAGTCCACAATTGGATCGCCCCGACTGTACGTTAAACTGATTTACAGTAACTGCATTATGATACGGTTATACAGATTTGATGAACTGTGTCTATGATCAGTTTTTAATATTTAGTGCTGTAAATGCTAAGGAGGAAAATAATCACAAAATGACAAATTCTGCACGTGTACTATGTTTGTCAAATCTTGTTTCCCTTTATCAGTTTCAGAGGGAGAGAAGCTGAATCTGGCTGTGTGTGGAAGTGACGACACATTCAAATCCTCCATACCAGAGCCAGTGTGTAATGTGGCGGGTCAGTGTGTAATGTGGATGGGCCAGTGGGCAATGTGGGTGGGCCAGTGGTTAATGTGGGCGGGCCAGTGTGTAATGTGGCGGGTCAGTGTGTAATGTGGATGGGCCAGTGGGCAATGTGGGTGGGCCAGTGGTTAATGTGGGCGGGCCAGTGGTTAATGTGGGCGGGCCAGTGTGTAATGCGGACGGGCTAGTGGGCAATGTGGGCGGACCAGTATGTAATGTGGGCGGACCAGTGTGTAATGTGGGCGGGTCAGTGGGTAATGTGGGCGGGCCAGTGGGTAATGTGGGCGGGCCAGTGTGTAATGCAGACGGGCTAGTGGGCAATGTGGGCGGACCAGTGTGTAATGTGGGCGGACCAGTGTGTAATGTGGGCGGGCCAGTGGGTAATGTGGGCGGGCCAGTGGGTAATGTGGGCGGGCCAGTGGGTAATGCGGACGGGCCAGTGGGTAATGCGGACGGGCTAGTGGGCAATGTGGGCGGACCAGTGTGTAATGTGGGCGGGCCAGTGGGTAATGTGGGTGGGCCAGTGGTTAATGTGGGTGGGCCAGTGGTTAATGTGGGCGGGCCAGTGGTTAATGTGGGCGGGCCAGTGTGTAATGCGGACGGGCTAGTGGGCAATGTGGGCGGGCCAGTGGGTAATGTGGGCGGGCCAGTGGGTAATTTAGAAGTTTTAATATTTATTGAACACTACAACTGGCCAACAAATAAGTCTAAAAAAATGTGCTTCTTAAGAAATGTATAAAAAATAGTGATAAAAAATGTACATACACATAAACTCTTAGTAGTGCAAATTAAATTAAAAATTAAATATAAAATTCACCTTTACAACTGGTTGACATACGGTATACCCTACTTAAATTATTTTCTTCCTCACAAAAGTAAACAATTTAACAAAAAGTGCTCTCAATATAATACTGAACAATGTACCAAAATAAATAATAACAATATTAAAATATAATATTTTGGGGTTTTAATTTTATAACCTACAGAGAACCTCATCATCAGAGGTTATTTAAGCCAAATTCTAGTCTTGTTTGCCACAGGTGTTCACATAGCCTGGTTCAACCAGACTGTAGTTCATTTCATTTCCACATAGAGTCTGGAACCGCTCCATTGAGAAACGTTTCCTTCCTTGTAGGCGGGTTTACTATTAAAGTTCAAATCTATTGGATCTGCCCAAAGTCACTCACGATCTGCCATAGCCAATCGCTAACGTGTGGTCGTGAGTGACGTATATCACGCGCCGAAATGGCTGGAAACAACAAGTCCGAATGATCAGAGGATTATGTTTACAATAGGATTTCAGTCAACGAGCGCCGCAGGTTTTGTTAATCTAGGAACAATTATTAATTCGAAATGTATATTTGACACGAAGGACAGTGATATATTCATTCAACGGTGGAAGCTGTGTCTAATCATTACAAATACGCAGCTGTGGTCGTTTCTGATCTGCTGCAAATGCTGTAGCAGCTACAGTGAATGATCAGTCTGTCTCTATCTGCAGATGTGTAATAAACAACAGTTTTTCATATTACGTCTTATTGTTTCTTAATTACCTTAATTTTGGTCTTTAAAGTATGTGTTTGTAAATTTTTATGTGGCATTTAGTTTTTTTTTATTAGTTAAACAAATCAACCATTGCGATCTAAAACTGAAAATCAAATATCTTCAAAGTATGGGTTTTCACATTTTTATTTATGACAATTATTTTTTTTAAAATCACAACCAATTTGTATGATTTACAACATGTAAAACTGACACACCAACCTCCTAAAACTGACACATCAACCTTGTGATATTGGGATATTTTAATGCAAAAATCTTAGGTATTCCACCTTTAAATAGGGGAAAAAGGGCATGGCCCTCGAATGCCCCTCCATAGCGCCGACCCTGAATGGAGGGAACAGTAATTAGTTTTATTACTCGTTGAAAAAAAATAATGCTGTTTAATGCCGTTTATTTATAACACCGTTATTCCCATTACTGCCGATGACACACACGATATGTGCGCTATGCGTATGGGTGAGAGCACACTCAGTCTTTGAAGGGGCTCTATTGCATTGCAAGTGTTTTCCTCCTAGTTTTCCTTGCAAATTTTACAGTGAGCTTCGTGGTGGCGGTAACAATATTACTTTTAGCTACAGTATATTGCATATCATTTTTTAAAATTATTTTCCTCTTTTACAGGTTCAACAGAGAGTAAAGATGAATTAAGGATTGTGCTGCTGGGAAAAACTGGAGTTGGGAAGAGTGCAACTGGAAACACAATCTTAGGAAGAAACGCATTTACAGCAGAAACATCTCATGAATCAGTGACTAAAGAGAATCAGAGAGAAACATCTGACATCAACGGCCGACGCGTTACTGTGATCGACACTCCAGGACTGTTTGATACTGAACTCACTAATGAAGAGATCCAGAGAGAAATCAGCAACTGCATTCCTATGATCCTGCCGGGACCGCACGTGTTCATCATTGTGCTCAATTTAGGACGGTTCACTCGAGAAGAAGCAACATCAGTGAAGATCATCCAGGAGACGTTTGGAGAGAAATCTTTAATGTTCACCATGGTGCTCTTCACCAGAGGAGATTTCCTGAAGGATAAAACCATTGACCAGTTTCTGGGAAGACCTGGATCTTCTCTGATGAACCTGATTGAAGAGTGTGGAAACAGATATCATGTGTTCAACAATAATCAGCCTGGAGACCGAACACAGGTGTCTGATCTACTGGAGAAGATAGACCACATGGTGAAAGCAAACGGAGGGAGTTTCTACTCGTGTAAGATGTTCAGACAGATGGAGAGAGAGAGACCGGGACAACTAGATGATTTAGAGAAGAGACGGAAAGAAATAAAAATAAGAGATCAACAGATCTTTAAAGAAAAACTGGAAAGCAGTGGAAGACATCTGTTTTACAGACTTCATCTTCACAATAAACTAAGAGTTGCAGATGTTCTTCAGATAACTGCTCATTCATTACAGTCACGTGAGTCTTGTGCTGAAGAGGAGCTGATTCAGACTTTCATACTAAAACTATTGATGATGAACTACAGAGCCAGATATATTAAAACAAAAGACGCACAAGAAAAAGACAAAGACTCAGATTTTTTTGATAAAATGTTTATGTCAAACAAAGAAGACAGACAATCTGAACTCATTCACCCGATGGATGTTCAGATGGCCGTGTTTCATTGTGCTGATGGTTTCCTGAAGCAGTTGATGGTCACTAAACTGTCCCAGTGTCAGTACGCTCTGCCTCTGCTTGTCCCTGATCCATTCACACAACAGATTGAGTTTCCTCTCTGGACATTCAGACAAATCAACAAGAGCTGGAAGATGATAAACACTGACAATGAGATCATCAGTCAAACCCATCCGGTCTGCAAGGCACAAACTCCGATGGTGTCTTTCTTCAGGTTTGACTCTGTGTCTTCATCCAAGTCTGAGCTGATGAACAGTCTGATCAATGAGAAACACAACACGTTCTTCCACAGGAACTGTCCAGGCAGCAGCAGAACCAGAGTCCTGATGGATGGAGTGGTGGAGATCGCCTGGTTCTGTCCATCTGGGAAAAACACGGATAAATTCACGGACTGTGTTGCGTTCTGTAATCTACATGGGGATGCAGGAGATCATGAGAAACAGCTGCAGATCCTCACTGAAATGGCCTCAGTCAATGTTGTTCTTCTACCACGACTGGACAAGAATCACAGACATGCAGCAATGATCCAGAACTTGTACAAAGACTCAAAGCCTCTCATTTGTCTTTTTACTGAGGATGAATTCGCTGTAACTAGGCCGAAGAAAGGGAAATATAAGATTGGTCTGAAAGACAGAAATCGGTCAGATGTATCTGAAGAACTCAGAAGAGCGATAAATGAGTGTCTCTCAGAATCATCTTCCACGTTCAGACTTGAAGATGTGTCCAAACACTCAGACATCAGAGTAGATGAGGAAGATGATGAAGACTGCAGGAGAGGAAGAGAAGCAGCACAGCGGATGATGAGTTTACTGGAGAAGAAAGATCTGACAGAAATCAAAGAATCATTTCTACCTCATCAGGGTAAACTGTGGCGTCAGTGGAGTCAGAAGAACAAAGAACTACATCGACCTCAAGGAGATGAAGTAGAAATGGAAATGAGTAGAAAACAAACAGAGATGAAGAAAATCCGTCAAATGCAGCATGAATCTGACGTCAGTGTGTTTATGAAGCTCTTCATAAGACAAATTAACTCACATGAGAAACAGAAGATGTTTTTCATCAAATGGCTCAGAATCCTTCTGGGTGAATATACGTCAGCTGGACTTTCTAATGTACAACAGAAATATGATAAACAGTGGTTAACCGTCTTAAAACTGAAAAAATCTGAACAACTCAAAGCTGAAGAAAATGAATTTGAGAGAATATCTGAGGATCTTCAATATTCAGCCTTTGGTTTGGAGCACATCATGAGGGAGATCGGTCAGATCTATGAATCATGTTCATCTGTGAAGAAGAACAAGAAAGACCTTCAGGTTCACTTCTCTTCTTTCCCGAGTCTGGCAGCAGAGATGATGATCTCTGGGTTTCCACTGGAGTTGATGGATGGAGATGCTGCTCATGTTCCTGTGATCTGGATCTCTGCTGTTCTAGATCAACTCATCCAGAAACTGGGAGACCAGAGAGTCTTTGTGCTGTCGGTTTTAGGCATTCAGAGCTCTGGGAAATCCACCATGCTGAACGCCATGTTTGGACTCCAGTTTGCCGTCAGTACTGGAAGATGCACCAGAGGAGCTTTCATGCAGCTGATCAGAGTCTCAGACGAGATGAAGACACAGATGAACTTTGACTATATTCTGGTTGTTGATACTGAGGGTCTTCATGCTCTAGAACTGGGTGGAAAATCAACAAGACATCATGACAATGAATTGGCCACATTTGTTGTTGGTCTTGGAAACATGACCTTGATCAACATCTTTGGGGAAAACCCATCTGAGATGCAGGACATTCTTCAGATTGTTGTTCAGGCCTTCATGAGGATGAAGAAGGTCAGACTGAATCCCAGCTGTGTGTTTGTGCATCAAAACGTTTCATACATCACAGCTGGAGAGAAAAACATGGAGGGAAGGAGACGACTGCTGGACATAATGGATGAGACGACAAAACTCGCTGCTAAAGAAGAAGTCTGTGATGCAGAATGTTTCAGTGATGTTATTAAATTTGATGTTCAGAATGATGTGAAGTATTTCGCTCAGCTCTGGGAGGGAAGCCCACCCATGGCACCACCAAACCCAAACTACTGTGAGAATATTCAAGAACTGAAGGAAACTATTATGTGTCATGCCTCAAAATCACATGGAATGATGTTGATAGATCTAAAAGATCGTGTTAAAGATCTCTGGGAGGCTTTACTGAATGAACGATTTGTCTTTAGCTTCAGAAATTCTCTGGAGATTTCAGTTTACAGGAAACTGGAGACCGAATACAGCAAGTGGACCTGGAGTCTTCACAGTGCCATGATGGAAACTGAGAACAAACTACACAACCAAATAGAAAAGGAGGCAATTCATGAGGTTGAGGAAACTGAACTTCAAAGAGAACTGAAGAAGACAAGTGAAGAAGTGGAGAAATCAATGTCTGAATTCTTTGAGAAAGACAGATATAAAGATATACTGATTCAGTGGAAAACATCATTTGAAATCAAAATAAAAGAGCTTCAGGAAAACATTGTGAGAGAAACACAGAGGAGATTAAACACTATTCTTCAGCAGCGAGACCTGAAGAAAAAGATTGATGCTCAGAGGACACATCATGAAAACACCCTCTATGAAAAGAGCAAAGAACTCGCTATAAAACTAAAAGATAAAGCAAATAATAAAGAAATGCTAAAGAAAGAGTTTAATTTGTTTTGGGATCAGAGTGTGAAAAAGTTCATGAAAGACTCTCCTGAAATCAAAGACATTGATATAATGAGAGATGTGAGAGAGATCCTCAGTGACATCTATGAAAGTGCTCCTGTTGATCACTGGAAGGAGAGTACAGATATTTTCTCTTTGCAGAGTTATTCAGATTGTGTTGTTCTCAAAAAGTCTAGAAAAGGTTTGATTCAACAGGCTGGAAAGGATGTTTACAGAACAGTAATGAAAAAATCGTTCGGATATAATCAAAATCTGTCTTTAGAGGATGAATCCCAAATAAGATCATTCATCACAGATGTTGTTGAGCAAACAGACAAAATGATTCAGTCATTTAACATTTCAAAGATGGGCTACAACATCAGTTACATTCAACAGCTCATATATTACATCAAGGAGAGGATAACAGAACAAGAAAAAACATTGACAATGACAAAGTTCAAGAATGAGTTCTTCATGGATTTGGTTCTTTCCATCTGTAAGAGAGCAAACAAGACGATCACTGATCAACACAGACTGTTCAGAGAAGACAATGATCCTGTAATATATGTTGAGAAGAAGAGAGAAGAGTACTATGGTGTTTTCCAGAAATACTGTCATGGAGCCGCATCAGCCTGGGACGTTGGAACTATTTTGTGAGAGGGGGGGGCGGGATTCCCGGTGGGGGGGGGGCTGTCGGAATTACGCACCGTTTCAAAATATTGGTATTAAATCCATTTTCTGAGAATTTATCAGTCAACTTGTTGATTAAAACAATTGATTAAAATGAAATACAATTTATAAAAACGAAATTCTTTTAAAAAACATAATAAGTCAGAATTACTGTGGGCTATGTCTGACCCATTCCAAATGTTTTCCGATATGGTGACTCTATTGATGGACCGCTCCTTGATCCATCAGTGCTTGAGTCACCATATATCGGAAAATAAAACGTTTTAAACATGAATAAAACATATCCTGTTAAGCAGAGCATTAATTTCAATAATCATATAATAATTAATAATTCAATAATTCAATAATTATAAGCAATAATTAAGTTAAGTTGTAGGCTATGTTCTCTGTGGCACGCAGTCTTCACTCGGACGCGCACTTTAATCGCCTTTACGTCGGAGACTCTATTCATTCCGGTAAAATCACAAAATAAACGTGTCCTATGCTTGATATTGACTGTAACCACAGATGGACATATTCTGTTTTGATGAGAGAGAAAAAAACTGTACCAAGGCCGGATTAGAACCCGTAACCTCTGGCACTCTGGGCAAAAGATTTACCACTAGACCATTAAAACGGTCAAATGAAGTCTGGCGGATCGACGTATTTATTTATGGGTTGAGCAGAAAGGCTGCACAGTTTGACAAGTTTGTACCCAGCACTTCCGAATGTGTCTCTGTGCCCAGCAAATTTCAAACTGACGCCCGTGCTTAGGTGAATTTAGCGGGCGGCCGGGGGAAGGGGGCGGCCGTAGGAGGGGGGGCGGCCGCCCCTCCCGCCCCCCCTGTTCCAACGTCTATGCCATCAGCTGCCATTTTTGGAGAGATCATCTGTCAGAAACTGAAAGAGCCCATTGAGCAGAGCGTCTACAAGAAGACTGCCAGAGATCTGACAGATGAAATGAGATCAAAGTGTGAATCACTGAATGGAAACAGATCAAATCTGGAGAAACACATCCTGAAGACACTGGCTGAAGAGGAGGATTTCAACAAATATATGACCTACATTCATAAACCCAGAGATCACTTCAAGAGTTTCATCAGAGATGAAGCCAGTCGGTACATTTCTAACATGTTTGATGACAGCATTATACACAAGATGAAGAAGAACATTGAACTCCTGCAGCAGAAGATCATGAAAGCAGCTCATGAATCTACCGAACATGTTCAAGTCTACAGAGGAGATGTTGGTTTGTGGTTGAAGAGTTTCTCACAGAAGCTCTCAGATGTGCTGATCTTCTCTATAAAAGACCTCAGTGAAGTGAAACACAATGATGTTGATGATTTCAACTTCCTAGAAGATGTGATGAGACATGATCTAACTGCGATAATGACTGACATCAGCAGTAGATTCAACATAATGACATTTCCAGTAAAGCTGGACTATAAGGACAGACCAGATGAGCTTCTGATTGGTCACTTCTGTTGGGTTCAGTGTCCGTTCTGTAAAGCCGTCTGCACCAACACCATAGAAAACCATCATGGAGATCACAGTGTCCCTTTCCACAGAGTGTGGGGAATCAATGGGACATATTACAGCTTAACACCGAATCTCTGTCCTGATATTTGCACAAATTTAGTAGCAAGTCATCAGGATTTTAATACACCACATGGCAGGTTTAAATACAGAGATTACAGAAGAGCAGGAGGAGTGTATGCAGACTGGAGCATCACCTCTGACCTCTCAGAGCTGCCCTACTGGAAGTGGTTTGTGTGTCGATTCCAGAAAGATCTGGAAAAACACTACAGTAAAACATTTGAGATACCAGATGAATGGAGAAGATACTCTAAACATGACGCTATTGAGAGTTTAGATAAATACATGTAATGGATTTCCAGAGATCCAGGAGATCCAGATCACAGATATCAATGAGTTTCTGTGACATGAGAATCTGAGCTCATCTACACCTCACAAGATCATTGCTTCATCAAATACACCAGAGATTCAATTCCTCGTTCGTGATCTGAACTTATTTCTGAACATATGCCTAAAAGATAAAGCTCAAACATCTCGATCATGAACTGAAACAGATCTGTGGTGATTGGTGATAGATGTTTGAAGTATACATGTGTTTGTTAAAGCTCAGTGCTGATGAGGAAAGTGTGAGAAATAAACAGCAAATTAAACCTCACGAAGCCGTCGATCTGATTTATATGAAAATTACTCTGGAAAAAACTGCACTCAATAATGTCCACATCTCTGAGGACACATCGTGAATTGACTGACATTGTCCAGTGTCCTTTCACGCTAGTTTAATATAGACATATTATGTAAAATTTTGTTTTGACTTTAGAAATTGAATTGATTAAACTGTAACAATCTATAGCAGAACGTCAGTCATTACACTGTAAAAAAAATATTTTCAAGATTTGTTATCACATTTTTCTTGTCAAGTCAATTTAAATAATTTATTTAGTTCAGATAACTTACTATTTTGAGTTCCTGATGATTAAATCAATCTCCTTCATTGTATTAACTCACTTTTCCAGTTCAATCAACTTAAAATTTTAAGGCAACCAGGTTACTTAATTTTTTTAAGTTAAACCAACAATATTTTTTATAGTGTACTAAAATGCATTACTTAGACATTACTAAAACATATCTCATGGAAAATAATGTTTATTACACAATACTGTGATCAAAATCTCTAATGCTGCCTTCAAACTCTCGCTGATGACCTTTGAACTCCCGCTTCTGCACGCTGTGTGTGTCTAAACAACAAAACTAACGTCGACAGCCTGTGCTTCAGTCCAGGAGAACATCTACAAACATTGATGATTCGCTGTGTGTTGCTTTATTTAACACGCAGTGACTGTGTAGTTGCTGGTCCAGTGGGAATCTTTTTATGTACAATTTAATATTTTATTTTTACTTTGGTCATGTTATAATGCATTATAAATTTTAGTTAATACATTTAAATGACACTTGGTTTCTGCAAGTGAAATTAGTGCATACAGTAACACACTGTAGATTACAGTAAAGAACTGTACAATTAACAGTAAATTACTGGTAACAGTGTTTAAACTGTATATAAACTGTTTCAGCAGTGCTTTGCGTTGTTACATCCGGAGGTAATTTAGAGATTTTGGGAAAGTTAAAGGAAGTTAAAAAAAGAAGGATATTTTGAAGAATGTTGTAAATCAAATCAGTCCATTGATTGTCTGGTTACCAACATTCTTCAAAATATCTCTATTTGTGTTCATCAGAAGGAAGAAATCATGACTGAACCTCTCCTGAAGTTATTATCCCCCTTTTTTACGTTAAATTACTGTGAAAGTAATGCAATTAAACTGTAATTACACTCTGAAACTGTTAACAGTGTGTTGGATATATCAATCACAAGTTTCAATGCATTGAGTTTAAGAGCAACACAGCTTTTGAATTTGCTAACATTACCCTGAAACAATGTGTAGAAATTACTTTGAAATATTTCCATTTCAAAATGACTAATTACTAGTAAATTTCATGAATAATTAAAAAATAAACAGCTAATTAAATGTGATTTTTTTTTAAGCATAAATTCTTAAATAGCCGCTCCTGTTTGCCAGATCTGGGCCACAAGCAGGCCATAGCAATGCCACAGGTCAGGAATGAGCAAAGAAATAAACATGAAGAGCTAAAAAATGGTGGATGATTATGATTTGGGGCTGCTAACACACACACACTCTTGAAGCTCCGCCCACTGTGTCTGGAGCTGCAGCTCATTTGCATTTAAAGGGCCAGACACAAAACGGTGCGTTTTTGCTAACCCTCAAAAAGTGACAACTTTAACATGCTATATAAAAATATCTGTGGGGTGTTTTGAGCTAAAACTGCACATACACACTCTGGGGACATCAGAGATTAACTTTACATCTTGTGAGAAGGGCATTATACCACCCCTTCAAACATTATACATATATCGAAGAGTTCAGATGCAAAAGCCTCTAAATGCCATTTTAAATTTTCTTCTAAAATGACCATTTTTATCAAGCTTGTATTTTTAAGTTCAGTAATTTCACTTAAATGACAATTAATAGGTAATCTTCATTGCAATTTAAGTGAAATTACTGAACTTAAATATACAAGCTTGATAAAAATGGTCATTTTAGAAGAAAATTTCAAATGGCATTTAGAGGCTTTTTAATTTAGATCAGATATACACATTGTGTAAGTAACTTTAAAGTTTTCTCTATTCTATAAGTTCACCGGCCATTTACTTTCATATATTTCGGGAGAAGTGGATGAATTCATATGTTGTAAATCCAACAGATCCGCTTTTCTGAACAGTGGCACAAACTAACATGGCGGCGCCCATACAGCTCAACTAACGCGATCGTTATAAAGGTGTTTAAACAACAAAACACTCCCACAACTTGCATTTATTTGTTCTGTTTTGGGTCTGTTAAAGCGATATATAAATGCAGTCCATTAACCATATATTTGAGTCAAGTCAAGTCAAGTCACATTTATTTATATAGCGCTTTTCACAATACAGATTGTATCAAAGCAGCTTCACAGTGATAACATGAAAGTAGCACAACACTCGCACTTATCCAGTCCGAGGAGTGGAATGGCATTATTCCCTTCAGCTGAGACACTTGTTGAGTTGAAAACACTGTTTATGTTTTTGAATTTCTTGAAATATGATTGAAATCTCTTCGAAAAATGACAATACGGTTCGGTACAACATGTGCAGCGCAAATCTGTCATATCGGCTATACAACACTATAACATGGACATGGATTTAATTGTGAGACTTTTGTTTTTGTAATCAGGCTCTCAAAATTAGATAAAAACTTGGATTTAAGTTTATCGGCCGATATATCGGTTATCGGCTTTCAAATATTTGGCTGGTATCGGCCAAAATGTTCATATCGGTGCTAATGATAGTTTTTTAAAATCTTAAATAATTAGGAAGTGATGCTGACACTCTCATGATTGGATTAGTTCACTATTATGAGCTCTATTGAGTGTTAGTCACATATATCTCAGACTCCAAAGACCTATATCTTTACGTTACAGAAACTGCCTGAGGAGGACTTCTCTTTAGGATATGAATGTAAACTTGAATGTCATCTTTAATGAAGAAAATGTTGCGATAAGCGCAAAATCTTCCAGATCACAGTGTTTGTTAGAATATTAGTGCCTCACAGAACCTGTACAGTGTGTCAAATATAAAATTAAATAACTTGTATTAATTGTGAAAAACATGTTAACTCCTCACTAACTATAAGCATTACCTATGTAAAGATTGCGGGATATTCATATTTGACACACACTGTACAGGTTCTGTGAGGCACTAATAGTCTAAGAAACACTGTAATCTGTGCTTATCGTAACATAAATGCAGCCAATTTCTTCATTAAAGATGCTAATTGTTTTTGACAAGAGAACATCAATGTTTATATTCATATCCAGATAAGTCCTCCTCCGGCAGCTACTGGAACATAAAGTTATAGGTCTTTGGAGTCTGAGATATATTGAAAATAAATATGTATGACAAAATGTATTGGCCTACTTTAAAAAAAATAATACTTTAAAAGAGGTTTATGGTAAAAGGCCCATATATATATATATATATTTTAAGAGGATTTGTTATCATAAGTGTTCGCATCAGCTAGCAGAGCTGCTTCCTATGGAGGAAGAAATGAAGTTTTCAGATGAGGAAGATGTTGTTTTACTGCGCCTGAAAACTGCAAAAAGGCTTTTTAAGAGAAACTGGTGAGAAATAGCCTTGACTACCTTTATTTATAAAGTTTACTGGGGATGATACTCCTCTACATATTACAGATGACCTCTCGTGTGAAAGCATCATAAAGGCCAAACTATGCAATGAGTAAGAATAATTTACAGTATAAATATTGAAAACCACTCGCCTATTAACTTATTCCCATGTTTGTACCATTGGGACTGTGTGGGTAGACCTAAATACATCTGCCCGCATGCTTGTAGTGCTTTTGTCCTGATTTTCCCCTGTTTTTGTTGCTGTTATATATGTTTGTTGAACTTTCCCCAAAATAAATGCTGTGGGTTATTCACTGGATCATATGTATTTAATTATATTTGCATAGCTATAATTTTTCCACTTTACTCCACTCTTAAGGAACAATTATGGAGTGATTTATTCACATTTATGCGTATTACGTGTTCAGTCTATAGTCCTAATGTGTTTGTTAACACTTGAATGCTTTCATCAGTGATGTGAAAGACGTCGACGAGAACAATAAAATGTAAAGTGAAGCTCTAATTCGAGTCGTCTTTACAGACAGAACAGAAACTTTCGAAGCAGAATAATGCAACATTATTTTATTAACATTTTTAATTCAGAGTAAAACTTCTGCTCATTTCTTGATCTTTAAAAAAAGCTTGCAGTTTCAGATTATACTCTCTTTACAGCAGCTTTATACAAATGCCTAACCCTATTTTTCATTTTCACTCTCTTTGTGATGTTTTTCCATGTAATCAGAACTGGTTTATCAGGATGAGCTGCAGTTTTTCATTTTTGTGTCAAACACAAGGAAGAAATCAATTCAAGGTTAAACACACACTCTCTTCATGCGCCAGATCACTCACAGATTTCACTTTGATGGTCATAACTTCAGCTGAACATGGACCTGCTCGTGTTCATTTCTGTGACTGTGATTCCAGTTATATCCAACGGTAAGAGTAATGTGTTTCTCTCTTCAAGTTCATCCTGCCAAGAATGTTTCTCATGATCTTAAAAATCATTTTTGCTGGTAGAGGCTTCAGCTAAAACACTTGAAATGAGTTTGTGCACACGTATGGATTTCTTTGCAAAATATTTATTGTATTTTCTTTATAAAATGTATTATTTGTACCTGATAATACATGATCATGTGTCCTCCTTCAATTAGTGGGTAAAATCAGTGCATGTGTTGTAGTTAGTGAATAAGAATAATTGGAGTTATACATTAACTCATGATTATCTGTGCATTAGTTAAGCATGAATTAATGCATATTAGTGCACCCGTATTGTAAAGTGTTACCGAATAATCGATCCTACCCGTCATTTTCAACATGATTTTGCGTATGTCTTAAGCTTTCAGTAGTTTTGTAGGTTGATTTACTTGAGATGACGATTCTGATTATGAGATTTAATTTGTCTCTACAGCTTTTATTCTGATTTATGTCTCTCAGCTAATATATATATATATATGTTTCCAATCATAAGGCAGTTTTTGTGATTTCTTTGTGAGATCTTAAGAGACCTGTTAGTGTTAAATGTTCTGTTGGGATTTAAAGAGTTTCTGAATGGTCTGAGTGGTTTAAATGGGTTTTTTTTTTTTTACACAGTGAAGTCTTCCATATGTACACTCTCAGAAAACAGGTACAAAAGCTGTCACTGTACCTTTCCAAAAGGTACACTTTTGTACCTAAAGGGCGCATATTGGTACCTTAAGGGTACATATTAGCACCTAAAATGTACATATTAGCACCTAAAATGTACATAATAGCACCTTAATGTACATATTAGCACCTAAAATGTACATATTAATTCTTAAAATTTACATATTAGCATCTAAAATGTACATAATAGCACCTAAAATGTACATATTAGCACCTAAAATGTACATATTAATGCTTAAAATTTACATATTAGCATCTAAAATGTACATAATAGCACCTACATTTACACATTAGCACCTAAAATGTACATATTAACACTTAAAATGTACATATTAGCACCTAAAATGAACAAAAGTGTACCTTTTGAAAAGGTACAGCCTCAGTGACAGCTTTCATACCTTTTTTCTGAGAGTGTAGTTGTGTGTTATCTGCGTCGTGTCAACTCAAAATCAAAAAACTTGTCCCTTCAATCCTCCTTTATTTAATCCGTGAGTAACAGACAGATTATGAGGACTCCTGAGAGCAGCCATGCACAACAGTAGATAGAAAGATAAAGGATAAATCAACATAAAGAAAACCACTTAAAGAAAGAAAATACTCAATGAAACATACGTGTGTCCATCACAGGGGGACTTAAAGTCACAATTATACAAGTATAACTATGAAACAATCAGTTACAAGAAATATGTCCATTATTAAATCAGCAGGTAAATGTGTGTGAGACCGCTGTGAACGCTCTGGGAAGAATGAGGAATACCCAAAAGTGGATTCACAAAATAAATGTTTTTAATGCACTCCTGCTGCACATTAAATATATATTTGATTTAAGCGAACGTGAGTTTAACTGAAGGGGAAGCCAGAATGAGATTTTAATAGATATGTTCTGGTGCCGACTCTGGATTATTTCCTTTAGAGATGCATTTTTTTATAGCGATGTTTTTCCAACTTAATCAGAACCGGTTTGTCTGGATGATTGCAGTTTCACGGTAAAGTCAAACAGGTTTCAGCATGTCTGTATTATCTCTTATAAAACTTTTTGACTTGATGAGCCACAGAGATTAAAATAATTTATCATAACTGAACATGGATCTGCTTATGTTTATATTTGTGGTTGTCATTCTAATAATATCTGATGGTTTATACTTGTTTATCTTTAAGCTAAAGCTGGTGACAAGGCAAATATGCATTTTTTTTTTGCAACTAAAATATTTTATTTTAATTTAAAAAGCAGTGTTTAAATGCTTCCCATGATGCACATTGTGAGTCTGTTGAGTCTGTTGTACTTCAGTATTTTCCCTCAGGTTATATTTCCTGGTTACCTGAGTTGACCCTGTGTTTACAACCCGTTTTTCTACAACAATTAAAGGACAACTCCGGCGCAAAATGAACCTTTAGTCTAATTACACATTGTTACCTAGTCAACCGTTATCTGAGATTTGTTTTCATGATTGCCGAATGTAAATAGTTTTATCTCTAAAAACAGTTTAGCCTATAACGCTAGTATAGTGCTAGTATATCCACAAGTTTCCTACGCCCCATGAGGCCTTGCGTCAAAAGTGGGCGCGACTTCCGGTTGGAAGTAAACAAAGCGCGATTTGACATGCTTGACACTCGTTCATTCAACAGTTGACAGTCATTCAAGTTATAGCGATCCAAACTAGCTAACGATGTGGGAACACAACCTCAACAAAATGAAAAAGGGTGAAATAACAGTACCTTTACCCTCCGCAGTAGTTAACATTAGCTGACAAACAATTCAAATAAAAAATACACACTTAGTCATTGTGCTTTGGAGTTTATTCAAAATTATAAATGAATGTGCTGCTTGAATACATTAACTGGCACATTTGGTATTCTGTCAACACAGGCTTTGTAACATTTATTTCTTTTTTATTTTATTTATTTAATATGGACATGGCAATAACATTGGACGAACCAGATGCATTGTTTAAAGTGTAATAGCACATGTGCTAATTTTCAACACCTGTCCATAGGGGCTTTTACTACAGATCAGTACATCAGTACAGAACATCAGTAGCGAACAGCCAAACACATGCTGATAGATTTTATAGAATATTAAGATTTTATTCGAATATTATTTAAACAAATATGTACACAGGAAGATTCGTCGTCTTTTGAGAAGTGATGGAAACTACAGTCGTTGGCAGGATCAGAGACGGCTCTGGCAGGATCACTCTGATTTCGTTTTCAGCTTATGTTCAAAACAATCACGTTTAAGCCACTGAACTAGTTTAGTCCGGTGTGGTGAAGAGATGGGTCCCCCTGAAGAGATGAGTCCCACCTTAGGACCCCATAGTATGCCAGTAGTATGCCTGATCAAAATATGTTCTCGCGATAACTTGATAAAAGCAGTTTGTTGCCCTCAAGTAATACGTTTATTTGTTTAGCGCTTTTCAAGTAAAACCTTTATTTGTTTAGCGCTTTTCATAGTAGGTTGCGTCAACAGCAGAGGAGAAAGTCCGCGAAATTGTATAAATATTAATAAATATTACTGTTATTTTGTCATGAAATGTAATTTTAAGAGTTTAAAAGTCGATAAAATAGTTGTTTAAAGCTCAAATCTGTGGTTTATTTATAAAGATAGCGCCTTTTTAAAACATTGTTCTGATTTAGATTGACTGAATCTTTTAACTTGTTTTATTTCTTGACTTGTATGAGCTTATTTTACCTTTTAGGCTACTTATTAATAATGTCTATTATTGATCAATAAAACTGAAATTTAACAAAAAGTGACAGGATTGTGTCATATTATTTCATGTACCTTATATATGAATTTTTGATAACACTTTAGAATACGGTTGGTGAATAACTACACAAGAACTAATGAGTAACACAATATTAACAATCTAGTAACTATTATTAACTAACAAGAAACTCTGATTAACGAACTAGTAAGTAATAGCGCACAGACGAAAGTGGTAGTTCACTATTAAGTAATTAATAACTACAATTTTTTTAATACTTCCCAGAGAACTACTGAAAAAGTTTATTAACAATCTAGTAACTACTATTAACTAAAATAAACTCTTATTAACGAATTAGTAAGTAATAGCTCACAGATGAAAGTGTTACTAGATACTTCTGTGGGAATTACTGATTATTTGGATTCGTATTATAAAGTGAAGATCATTGGAACTAACTAGTAATTACTCAAGTGTTACTACATGATCTAATCATGATTTGTGCAAATGTTTGAGATTTTTGGTGAACTTTAGTATACTTTTAGAAAATGTCTTTAGTAACACTTGAGTCATTACTAGTAGAATACTGAAGAATGGGATGTCACCACTTCTTTTTCTGTCTGTTGAGAAAAAGCAACACCAGTGACTGATCACATCTTCTTTTCATCAGTTAGGGTACACCAGTAACTGAACAGAAACTGTTTAGAAAAATAAGAACATGATACATGATGGAGACATGTACAGGAAAGAGCAAGACAATTATAATAATCATTAATAATATAAATATCAAATCTGTTTTCTGTATCATAGTTAGGATGGGATTCTGTGGCACTCATTTGTGTGGTTTCAGCAGTGGTGAATAGATGTAAATGTATTTTGATGATCCATTGTTTTTAATCTTTTTGTACATAGTTTATGCTATTTTATCAACTTAACGCTGTATCCTCCAATAAAGTGTTGTGTATTAAAGTATTGTAAACATGGTGTGAACGTGGTGTTCAGTTCTACAATGAATAAAATATTTTACTAGGCTCATACGAGTTTATTTCCTATAATAGACGAAAAAATCCTAGCCTATCTACTGCATTAAAAATGGAAGCAAGCACATTACTGATGTCAGAAATGTAAGACACAAGAAGATTAAATTTTGGCAAAAAAATGATCAAAGTTTGTTTTTCATGATGGACAGATATGCTGCACTTCCACAGAGGGACACCCCTGGTTAGGATACAATTGACAGGATACTTTCTCTTGCTGTGTTTACTAAATAATGTTGGACACAATTTTCAGACACTTATGTAAAAGTGGGAAAAACTTTTTTTTTTTTTTTTTAATTTTAAACCATACAAGTCCGACAAAACTGAAGAGATTTCGCTGTCTGTCCTAACACACCACACAGAGACAGATGCGCACAACCGTGGATATTCCACTGTCCATGAACCCACTATTTAGTACAATGGAATATGTGCTACGTGGGATGTCCATAGCTCAGGTCAGAAGAGGTGTAGAGAGCCAGGACTTGTCTCATTGCCCTCATCAGAATCAGACATTTTTCTGTCGCCATCCACAATGAATAGGCTCATCACGAACGGGGGTTAGGAAACGCTTAGAAAGCGGCTAGGGCCCTCAAACTCTGGGGCCTGACTCAAGGTCCCTAGACGACGGAACTCGCCAAGTTTCGGGGTCCTGTGACCTTCCGTGTCCTTATGGCAGCTCGTTTCGTTAGTTTGACCTTTTTGACCCCTGTCAGTTTTAAAATTAGCTTTTTTTCAGCCTTTTTCAACCTTTCGACTATTGAACGAGGTCCCAGGGCCACCAAACTTTCCCACCCGCACCAGGGGTCCATGGCAAGATGAAAAATGTTGCCCCTCATCAGCTCATAATCAGATGGGTTAATGAGCTGATGAGTTGAATCAGGTGTGTTTGATTGAGGAGACAAAGAATACGCGCAGTGTTGGTGTGCCGCCAGGAACAGGGTTGGGAAACACTGAAGTATGCACTTCAAAATGGACAATATACTGCTCTTCCACAGGGGTCCAGTAACACCCCTGGTTAGGATACAATTGACAGGATACTTTCTCTTGCTGTGTTACAGCATGTTTGTGTGTTTTTCAGAGTTCCTCAGCCTCCACGTCTCATGACCTGACTGCATCATCGAGGCCTCAAGAAAAAAATTTGACTGCACATACAATATGAATCAATTACAGATTTAACTTTACATACAGCAAAAGACACTGCATCTATTTGAGTATAATTGGTTAATCCAGGATGGACCTAAAAAAAAAAAACACTGTCTCTCAAAATATTTAACCTTACAGTTCATTCAACATTGTTAACACAGCTATGAAGATATTTTCATTCGATCTTCACACTGTATAGTCAGAAGGATTATCACAAAAGTATTTGGGAAATGAAAGTTTCCTATAGTCTGTTTAAAGCTGTTTTGTATTGTTGTGCATTTTAAAAAGCTCTATAAATGTCCATGTAAATGTTCATTTTGCTTGTAGTTCTGTGTTAATAACAATATAATCCATTACATCTCATAATTCAGTTGAAATAATTTAGTATCGTATTGTGTAATTTAATCAGATGTCATTTTTATTGCCTGTAAGTTTTGGTTCACTAATTTTATTGCATTGAATGCTATTGTATTGTATGATGTTCTGTTTTAAGAAATAATTATGACAAATCATATGAATTAGAACACAAAATGACATGAATGTAATTTTTTAAAAATGTTGTTAAATAACAAATAACTTAATGTTGCAAAACATACCTGGAAATGCTATTTATTGCATTAATCAGGATAAAAAATAAAATTATGATATAAATAAAGTTTGATAATGATTACATTATACGATTTGTGATTCAGTAATTTTTATTACACTGTCTTGTAATCAAGGGTAGACAAACAATTCATATTATATGAATTAGAACACAAAATGACATGAATGTAATTAAAAAAAAATTATTATGCCTTATTGTTTAATAACAAATAACTTAACGTTGCAAAACATACCTGAAAATGCTATTTCTTTCATTAATCAGGATTAAAAAAAAATTATGATATGAATAAAGTTTGATAATGATTAAATTACGATTTGTGATTTACAAATTTTTATTACACTGTCCTGTAATTAAGGCTAGACAAACAATTCAAATGATCAACATCGCACTGATTCTAAAGACAAAAACAGTGACAATTATAATTGCATTTCGAATACGGTAAGGCAGTATAAGCTGCGGTAAATCTCAGCTAGCACGAATCATCGGATAAATGCTATGCTACTAAGCTAACTAAAAACACTAAGAACGAGAAATGTTTAAATGTACAATCTACAGCTTCGGTTATATACTAGTATATAATATAAGTTAAAATACATTAATGACTCGTTATAACGTACTTCAAACGTCTCTTTTAATAAAGTGATTTGTAACCAGGCATTAAAGCGATTACCCATAAAACTAGCTTTGAACCAATCGGATCGCTTGGGTCCTAAAGTGGGACTCATCTCTTCAGGCGGACCCATCTCTTCACCACACCGGCTATACATACAACCGCGAACAGCACATGTTGCCCCTGAGCTCCGTAACGACATCTCTCTTAAAGATTTGCGTCTTTAAATAGTAAAATAATTCGCCGAAAAACAGCTAGCCTTTTTGCTAACTAACACACAAAACACCATTGGAATGCTACTTCCGCCGCGTCACCGGAAGTTTCACCCACTTTATTTTTTACAAGAGCGGCCCTCGGAAACTTGTGGATAGGGCATAGAGTAATGACAAATAAAAATCGCTTGTTATTACCACTAACAAGGCTCAAAATAGCCCCACACCAAAACGACAGCATAAAAAGAGTCCCTACATTCAAACCGAAGCATTGAGAACTTTGTCAGTTTCCATACAGTTTAATAAGAAGATGTTTTATACACACAGTAAATTTCGCGAATTCAGGAAGAAGCCATCTTGGAAAAATAGTCTCTACCAGTCGATCTACGAACGCCGATCCAAGTGCGCTGGTGAGATGTGAATAAGGTGATAAGGTGAGCGCGAACAGTAGGCTACGTGTACATATTGAAGGGAAGTAAACGGTTTGTGTTTGTGTTTCTTCTGGAAACAACGGATCATATGAGATTCTCCACAGTTCAGCGCACTTGGATCGGCGTTCGTAGATCGACTGGTGGTAGAGACTATTTTTCAAAGATGGCTTCTTCCTGTATTCGCGAAATTTACTGTGTGTATAAAATATCTTCTTATTAAACTGTATGGACACTGACAAAGTTCTCAACGCTTCGGTTTGAATGTAGGGACCCTTGTTATGCTGTCGTTTTGGTGTGGGGCTATTTTGAGCCTTGTTAGTGGTAATAACAAGCGATTTTTATTTGTCATTACTCTATGCCCTATATACTAGCATTATAGGCTAAACTGTTTTTAGAGATAAAACTATTTACATTCGGCAATCATGAAAACAAATCTCAGATAACGGTTGACTAGGTAACAATGTGTAATTAGACCAAAGGTTCATTTTGCGCCGGAGTTGTCCTTTAAGGTGAATAGAACAGAACCAACATGAATGTATGCAGATATTATTAATTCAAGGTTTTAAAGTACAATATAATTTGAGAATTTATTCTTATTCGAGGGGAGTCAGAAAGGCAGACCCTGACTGAGACAGGAGGAGCTGGGGAGGTAATCGCACCTGAGAAACATGATATCAGCTGATAATACTGAAGGAGTTACACATGTATACAGTGATGTCGTAATCCTATCGTAGACGAGGATCAGCTGATAATACTGAAGGAGTTACACATGTATAGAGTGATGTTGTAATCCTATCGTAGACGTGGATCAGCTGATAATACTGAAGGAGTTATACATGAATAAAGTGATGTTATATTCCTATCGTAGACGAGGAACAGAGTAGAGTCACTGATGTGATGTGAGCTGGACTAACGTGATCTGCCAGAACTGAAGCTACGCTTGATTTTACAATACATGAGTTTTCGACAGCTAAAAATGTCATTATTGAGTTTTGACAACAAAACAAGCTTTATTTCACTCTTCTCTTTCCCCTGTCTATGGGAAACATGTTTTCAGGGTTGACTGTGCACGGTCCCTCTGGTCCTCTGGTTGCTCCTCTGGGATCTTCACTGGTTCTGCCCTGTTATGTTGATGAACCTTTACTAATGGAGAGACTGGAGGTGGAATGGAGAAGAACAGACTCAGAGACTTTCGTTCATCTGTTTCAAGATGGAGAGAGTCGACCAGAGGCACAGTCGCAGGATTATCAGGACAGAGCTCATTTCTTCACTGAGGAGATTAAACACAGAAACTTCTCCCTCCGGCTGGACCATCTGAGAGCTGAAGATGAAGGACGATACACATGTACAGTTCACAGTCAGCTGGAGTCTGGAGAAACGGAGGTTCAAATAAAAGATGTTGGTGAGTCTGAACTGAAATGATCTGTGTGTGTAGATAGGTGTGTGATATTTACACAGTTTGTTCTTTCAGAGCGTTTGCTGGTCTCGGGATCGGATTGGTCCATCTCTGCGTCTGTGGGTGAAGACGTCACTCTGAACTGCTCTGTCGACTCTCACATCAAACCTGAACACTTAGATGAGGTTTCCTGGAAGAAAATTAATAAAGAGAATGAAGATGAAGATGTTCTGGTCCTGCTCTACCAAAACAACAAGACCTTTCCAGGTTCATCAGATGAGCGATACCGAGACCGAGCTGAGTTCTTCACCGCTGAAATCCCCAGAGGAAACTTCTCTGTCCGACTGAAGAGCGTCAGAACGGAGGATAAAGGGGTTTACATGTGTCATGTGTTTGCTGGAAGACATTCAGCCAATGCAACTGTAGTGCTGGACCAACTGGGTGAGTCAATCAACTAATACACAAGTGGAATTTAGTTATGCATTTACATGCAGTTGTATTTAAAGTTTATTAAGATTCCAATTTTAAACTCAAAGTGATTTTGATTTCTTCTAATGAATGCACACACTGTAGCTGTGTGAAGTCATGTGATCTCAGAGGAACTGTCACTCTACAGTCGTTTCTTTGCATGTAATACTGTTCGGTTATTGTCCATTAAAAACAGTTGCTGTACAGCAGAATACACAGTTCAGGACAGTGATCTTCACGAGACACACTATAGACATGTTAGCTGTAACTTCAGTCACACATAAAGCACATTTAAATCCTTCATTTCATTTCTTTTTTTTCTGAATGCTTGCATGAAATTATAAAAAGGACAGTTTTGACTTGTCAATTAACATTAAAACATTCAATATATTGTTTTTATATTTATGTAGTTTAGTTTTGTATTATATATATGTTTTATTATATTAATGATTTGCTTTCTCATGGGATATATTCTGCAATTGTCTTTTCAGTAATTAGTTTTTTTGTTATTATTGAACTGCTTTTTTCTCAGTACTTTTTCAAAAGTTGTCACACAGTTCTCTTTCATCTTTTTTAACTTTCATCTTCACACACATTTTACATTCTTTATTACAGTAGCACTCATATTCATCATGCAAATATTATTTTTCAGATGGTAAAGAAAAGTCCATAAGTACAAAAAACATGGAAAATCAAATAAAAGCACATATAGCAAACCATAACCACAGCATATTAACACTAACACAAAATGACTTTAGGTAGAGACAAAATTAAACAATTCTCCAAATTATGAAGACATGTTTGATTACCTAATGACCACTGTTTATGGATGCAGAGAAAGAAGTAAATATGTAATATTTCATAAGTACAGTATTGCAGGTGCACGGCTCTATAGGAAAAGGCTGACAAAAGCACTTCTTCAATGTGTTATTGTACAATCTCCTCTAGTAGATGAGTTATGATTTTATATATTAAATGCATTAAGTGGAAGTGGAGCCATACCATGCAAACTGCTATATATAAGAAACTTTTCAGAATAACAGCATTAATAACTGTGTGTTTGACAGGTTTCTCTGTGTTACACATAATAATGCTGATTCTCTGTGTCTCTGCATCTGGATCTGCACTTCTGCTCTTCTGTCTGATCTACTGCAGATCTACTACTGAAGGTACACATATAACACACATATTCTGATTTACTGCCATACAGTGGGAATGAGTTTGAACCTAATAATAATAATAATAACAATGGGATCCATTTGCAGCTTTATTGAAACAACGTCAAACAGACAGGAGTTAGATAACAGCAAAACAGGGTATTCAGATAGCGAGCACAGAGAATGGTCGGGTAACAGGCAGAAGATCAGGGCAGGCAGCAAGAAACAATAATCCAAGGCAATCCGAGTCAAGACAGGCAGCAAACAGGCAGAAGTCAGAAAACAAACCAGGGTCAGTAAACAGAACAGCAAGATCGGGTAAACACTCAGTGATTACAGACAGTGGCACAGTAATACTTCACACTCAACTTCTGTTTGTGTGTGGCTCATATGGAGAGTCTGAATTAGGTGCAGGTGTGTGTGCAATCAGTCCCAGGAGTGAGGCATTATGGGGATTAGAGTTTTGTGAAGTGATCAGTTCTGATGTAGAGTGCCCTCTGGTAATAGCTTGTTTTCATATGACGTCACGCCACTGCGTTGCCATGGCGCGAACCGCAGACGGAGGGCAGGAAGTGATTTTCTATATTAGGAAGCACTATAACACACTCAAAATGCCTATGTTTTGCGTAGTTTATGGTTGCTCAAATCGATCAAACCACGAGGAGTTTTTATCGTGTGCCAAAAGTTGTTGTTCATAAGGGGGGAAAATACAAGAAATTGACAGAAAAACACCAGGAAAAATGCCTTGCAAACCTACGTCTGCGGTCGGGAGGAGCCAAATGGGAAAATGCCTGTGTGTGTGTGTGCAGTGATCACTTCATCAAATGTGAGTTAATACATTATTTATGTGGCTTATAATACCATTATTCAGGTGTTTAAATACACTTATGTAGCTGTTTGTTTAATGTACCAGTTTCCGAACTTTGTAAAGTCGAAGTATGTCTGTAAGACGAGTTAGTTGCTGATATCTACAGGCAAATCTCTCAATTCAGTTGAAAATCGCTCCTCCTCATAACGTAAGGATCACGTCCAACATATGTTTCGATTTTCTGTTTATATATTTCTCTTGTAATAGCGTCTAAAGTAGTACAGTACAGATTTTCCTCCGTCTCGTCCATTGCGCTCTTCACTCCTTGCCCTCCATCTGCAATCTGCGCATCAACACGATCACGTGACTGCAAACCACCTATTCTCACATTTGAAATGAAAATTCTGTCCTCAATCAGTGTTCAGTTATTTATAATATATTACGTTTGTGTTTGAAACTCAGTTTCATTCAGTTATAAATGTAATGGGCTGAAAGAACAGAAATGTGTGTCTTAAAACTGAATGACTGATAATCATCTTTATTAAATCTGTTTACAGTTTTCCTGATTTGCTAAAACACTAAACCTCATTCTCTGATCCAAATTCTCAATAGCCTGAACCAATTTATCAAATAAATCACTCTTTCTGTAAAACATTAAAGGGCACCTATTATGGAAAATTCACTTTTACATGGTGTTTGAACATAAATGTGTGTTGGCAGTGTGTGAGCAAAACCACCCTAGAATGATAAAAATCCATCCAGTAGTTTTTTTACAATCTCAATAAATCATATGCACTGCCTCAGAACGAGCTGTTCTGAGATCCAGGTCTTTGTGACGTAGAACGGGAGACAGGGGGTTGATTGACAGTGTGGCTGTGGCCTAGACCCCGCCCTCGGTGATCTGTACACACCATCCTTCATTGTTTCAACGACGACAGCCGGTAATGTCTCTTGGAAACGTAAATTTATGTTCTGTCGTGGACTCGTGGGTTAATCCTGTTGTTGTGGCTTAAAAGTTAATCCTCAAGTGTGGATTGTCGTCTACTGTTTGCGATCCACCGTCACCTCCAGTAACAGTACGTGTATTTTATGATTTTTGAGCAAATAGTCTTTTCAGTCGATGTCAGCCAATTCAATAACAAATGCGTCTAAAGTTATTGCCGTCATAGGATGTCTGTGTATATAATTTAAAACCTTGTTTGTATAGTGTGTAACCACACGTTTATAAATATATATATTTTTAAAGATATTGTATTAAAAACTGCATATATGTTGGTGTTCTGTAAGTTAGCCATCTTCTCACATTTGCCACAGAAGCACCTATGACAAGTAGCTAAACATGACGCCACAGGTGCCTCGCATAAATGTAATTTCGCTCGTACGTTGCAAACTTTATCACAGAATGTATATGTAGTTTCAAAAAATTGCGCTAGTGTCTGTGTGTGTGTGTTGGACATCCATCATTTCAAATGGGACGCGATTACAACTCTAAAGTACTTAAAAGTATCAAATAACCATACCGAGACGTACTGGTCCATTCTCATTTGTTTATTCTGCCGGAGTCTCTTCATACTATTTATATATTCCGATTCAAACGTACTCTGAATGACATTCAATACGGCGCGTCTCTTCACTCTCTCAGTACCGACTGCCTGCCATAGGTATCAAGTTACGCCCTCATCCAATGGCAGGGCGGGGATATGCAGCTCATTTGCATTTAAGGTGGAATACCCCCTGAAACCGCTCATTTTTAAGCAGGCCCCAAAATGACATTTTCAAATGGTTATAATAAATTAACTGTGGGGTATTTTGAGCTGAAACTTCACAAATACATTCTGGGGACACCAGAGACCAATATTACATCTTGTAAAAAGGGGCATAATAGGTGCCCTTTAAACAAGTTCAGGTGATTAAAACACTGTTTGCAGATCTCATGCACTCTGACATTCTCACTCTACAACACAGTTTACACACAACGACTCAAACATTCGATACTGTTCAATATTCAGTGCAATACCAGACTTGTGGATACAGTAATTATTTTATTCACCTTATTACTGTATTGGCATTATACTTTTATCCGTAACATGCTTTGAAGTCTGTTTTCCGTTTTTTGATGCGTCTAATGAATGATCTGTAGTGTTCATAATTTTGACTCGTGTGTGTGTGTGTGTGTGTATGTGTGTGGTCTGAGACCGTTGTGTGATTTTGAGCACAGGTAAAGTGGTCTTGCTAGAATGACCATTTTTATCAAGCTTGTGTATTTAAGTTCAGTAATTTCACTTAAATGTCTAATACTTAAATATATATATATATAATTTGCCAGTATATAATTGATATATATATATGATGTATAATTTGCCAGTATATAATAGATTTTGTCAGTAGAGTCAGCGTTTCTGTGGAATGTGTGTGAAAGTGTGGTTTTGTGTGTCAGGTTTTGAGAAAGTGAGTGATGGTTTCAGTAATTGAGAAAAACTGTAAGTGAACGTGTGTTATTGTGTGTTTCTCTCAGACTCAGTCTTTCGTCTTCAGATGTTCCTCGTCTTCTGTCCAAATATTCTGATGTGTCTCGCTTTCGTCCTCTGGGGGTTATCTGAAGGTCAGTGATTCAGGACTGAGAGTTAATAATCAATAACTCATATCTGTGTGTGTGTGTGTGTGTGTGTGTGTGTGTGTGTGTGTGTGTGTGTGTGTGTGTGTGTGTGTGTGTGTGTGTGTGTTTCAGGATCAGTGTTTGAGTCGGTCTGTTGTTAGTAATGTGTGTGTGTGTGTGTGTTTCAGGATCTGTGTTTGAGTCGGTCTGTTGTTAGTAATGTGTGTGTGTGTGTGTGTGTGTGTGTGTGTGTGTGTGTGTGTTTCAGGATCAGTGTTTGAGTCGGTCTGTTGTTAGTAATGTGTGTGTGTGTGTGTGTGTGTGTGTGTGTGTGTGTGTTTCAGGATCTGTGTTTGAGTCGGTCTGTTGTTAGTAATGTGTGTGTGTGTGTGTGTGTGTGTGTGTGTGTTTCAGGATCTGTGTTTGAGTCGGTCTGTTGTTAGTAATGTGTGTGTGTGTGTGTGTGTGTTTTTCAGGATCTGTGTTTGAGTTGGTCTGTTTTTAGTAATGTGTGTGTGTGTGTTTCAGGATCTGTGTTTGAGTCGGTCTGTTGTTAGTAATGTGTGTGTGTGTGTGTGTGTGTGTGTGTGTGTGTTTCAGGATCTATGTTTGAGTCGGTCTGTTTTTAGTAATGTGTGTGTGTGTGTTTCAGGATCTGTGTTTGAGTCGGTCTGTTGTTAGTAATGTGTGTGTGTGTGTGTGTGTGTGTGTGTGTGTGTTTCAGGATCTATGTTTGAGTCGGTCTGTTTTTAGTAATGTGTGTGTGTGTGTTTCAGGATCTGTGTTTGAGTCGGTCTGTTGTTAGTAATGTGTGTGTGTGTGTGTGTGTGTGTGTGTGTGTGTTTCAGGATCTATGTTTGAGTCGGTCTGTTTTTAGTAATGTGTGTGTGTGTGTGTGTGTGTGTGTGTGTTTCAGGATCAGTGTTTGAGTCGGTGTGTTGTTCTGCTCTGTATTTCCTGAGGCCGCTGATGTTGCTCTGGACGGCTCCGTATATCAATAACTTCACAGGTGTGGCTGATTTATCATATTTATAGATTCATACAGTATATCAATTATGATACACATTGTTTTCACAGAAACTGACAGTAATTTTACATTAAATTCAATGTTAAACTTGTGTTTCACTGTGTTGCTGTTGTAAATGATATAGTGGATGTAATTATTTCATCTGTTTTACAGGCAACATTAAAACATGGATTCGGAGTTTCAGTTTTAGAGCAGAATATATTGTTTTCTCAGCTGTGTTTTACTCAGGTAAATAAATCCAAATGTAAATCCACAGTCATTATCATAAATACATTAACAGTTGAACAATAATTACATGTAAATGATGTAATATTCTCAATATCCTGCTGGAAATCTTAAACCCATGACATGAATACTGTGAAGTGTGTTGTTACTGTAAGATATTCTACACTACACCGCCGCTTAATTATGGAAATATTGCATGAATTATTACAGTAGACATCAGAGGCGTAGCAAGCTTTTGAAAAGTGTGGGGGATGGATGTGTCATTTAAATTTGGGCATGTTACGTAGACCCCTGTCCCTCTAGGGGGGTTCGGGGGCATGCTCCCCTGCAAGAAAATTTGGTACATTTTAAGGTTAAATGCATCAATTTGGAGCACATTGCTCAAAATTAAGAGCTTCAACTGGATTCGACCCAGGCCTGTGCACATTGAACAACGAAAAAGCATCGACTTGTAGCTTACCTAAAGAGGGCTCAAACATCTTTATAGTTATGATATAGAGTCTGTCATTATATTCTATATTACGCTATCAAAATTACAATACTTTTGTCCTAATTTCTTCACTTGTAAGAAATAAACCCTTGAGCTTTTATTTAGGAGAAAACACAGAACACCATGCTGATCGTGTGAGCAAAGAGCGTGTTTTTTTTTTTTTTTTTTCAAATCACTCAGCATTACAAACAGAATGCCTAACGCAAGTCTTGTACTGTTTATCCAAAAATACGAAATATAATAATGAAAACACTGGACATGTCAATAAAACATAAACATAACATCTTCCCAAACACATATCAAGCTTATTTAAAAACCTCGAAAGCATAAACACTCATTCAAAGTACCAGGGGGGTATTGCACAAAAGCAAGATAAGGGATTAAGCTGATTTTCCAGTTATCCTGGCTGAATTTAGCCCTGACTCGGTTGCACGAATGGAGGCTAAATTAATCTACATTAATGGAGATTTACACTTTGCAGCTAGCCTGCTCTAGAGCAGGCTAACAACCAGGCTAAGATTAATCCTAGTGATTTATCGACTAGTTCCTCCCTAAATCCTACTAGATATTAATGTTTTAGTTACTTTATGCTCCTGCATTAAAATACTAGATATACTGCCATTCATCTAAGAATGCGTACTGCTATTTTAGTTATTATTAAAAACTGATGTTCATTTCACTGTCAGAGGTTTGATGAATATATTATTTGAGATTCAAAGCGTTTATTGGCATACACTTGCAGTGAGGAAAGCAGATTTTCCTGAGCAATTATAACTTTGCTGTCCACAATAAATGCCAACACAATGCAAAACAACTATACTATACAACATGAGAAATAGAATATAGACTATGTATATCTATGCAAATATAGAGTAGAAATGTATAGTTGAATGAGAAAAAAAATTAGAGGCTATTTTATTGCAGTTGATGAGATAATAAGAAATGGCTCATTAAGTCGTAAATGTGGTTTCATGTAACAACAAGGTCAATAGTATATATAGACTAAAGATTTGTTTTTCCTATTCACAATGGCTTGCCCTTTGTTATGACTTTTTTTATTGCTAAAATCAGCACAGACGATTAAATGTCAGCAAACATGTCACCATGTTCTCTGCAGACAAGTCACTTACCAGCCTGCAAAATATTCTTGTATTTAATCTAGACTTTCTGCCAAGACCTTTTTTTGGCCAGACATGTTTGTTCTTTAGGAGGAATAGATACAAATGATAAAATAGATTAGATGGATAAAAATAGAGCAAAATATCTGATTATAGATTACATTAAATCAATTAGAAACAAAACCTATATAGAAATAGATAAGAGTAAAAAGATTAAAGAGATAGACATAAAATAAACTAAATATATAAAATATACACATAGTAGGTAAGTGTTTGCAATTATTCTTCATGTTAAATGTATGTCCACTGGTCACATTTAAGCCAAAATATACAATTATTTTGTTAAATGACAAGTAACTCCTCGAATTGTAATTATGAGGGTTACAATGGAGCACTGCACACTCAAATGCTGGGTTGTTTTAAACCAATTTTGGGTCAAATATGGACAAACCCAGCTGTTGGATTGAATTTATTAATTGCATTTTTAAATCCAACATTTGGGTTTGTCCATATTTGACCCAAAATTGGCTTAAAACAACTCAGCATTTTTTTAGAGTGTGGTTATTTATGGACTTAGCATTCAATCGGTCTGCTATAGTTTGCCAGGCATTCTCTCTTTGTTTTATTACAGCATCTGTATTGGCTTTTTTACATATTATATGTTTCACTTCTTCATACGTTTCCATAAGAAGCTGTTGCTCATTAGGTGAAAAGTATGCCGCACGCGTTTTGTCCATTTTTGGATCGGTGAGTCTGTGATCGATTTCGCGCTCTTTTTAAGAATGCCGTGAACGTGCATTTATCCAAACTATATACACCTGGCTTGACATAGCCGCGCGTTCTCATCCTGGCTCAGCAAACGTGCAACGGATTAAGCCAGGATGCACTTATCAGACTAGGTCAAACCGCGACTGTTCAGTTATCCTGGCTTTCTTAATTCTACTTTTGTGCAATACCCCTCTGGAAAAGGGAGATGTAAACAACCATAAGTTCCCGCCTCCTCAGCACGAGCTGACTGATACATCTAACACATCAAGAGAGGCGGGACTTAAGGCAGAACAGCCAATCATCAGCCGGACACACTCAAAGCCGGTGTCATGTTTGAGAGGAGACAGCTGCAGCGAGCGCGCACACACACACACTGAGCGCCAGAGAAACGGAGGAGCGACTGTAGGAAGGCGTTTGTGTAAGGCGGGCATACACTGTGCGATGTCTGTGCGATTTCAGCAAGGTACCTACTCACACTGAACGAGTAAATCGCATGCGATGCAAAGCCAAAGTTCAGGATTGATGTGCTCACACTGTACGGTCCGATCGTCGAGCTGCGACTTCACTGCTCACACTATACGTGTAATATCTGCGATAACCCCCTGGATTGCGCCTATTTACGTGTATGTATCCAGGGATATTGTCAAAACAAGCATCTGCTAGTATCAAAATGATTTAGCATTTTCCATTTATACGTTTAATTATTATTGGTATTGTGATGAATGGCGTGGGGGTGTATCTTTTTGTGTTGTTTGGCGTTGGTTCCGCCCGTCTGAACCATTTCGTAGTATGTGCTTATTGATGATCGATCTCACCTGGACTGGAGGACATTAAGAGAGCAGAGGGGAAGTTCGGGGGGACGTGATTGGCTTCTTGCGCTCGGAGGGAAACGGGGACGCTTTGTGCTGCTCGAGACCATTAGGGTTTGTCCGGCAACGAAGATAGCTAGCTAGAGAGATTTCATCGGTGTAGTTAGTAATAGTGGGACGGGGGTATAGGAGCGCTGGCCACGTGTTCCTGGAGCGATTAAAAGAGCTGCGTCTCGCATAAAATAAAGAACTCGTGCATCACCAGTGATTCTTAAAGAGAACCTAGCGTGAAGAGGACTAATTAATGCCATTATTGTGACTGCTGTGGCTGGGACGGACAAACGCGGACAAACAACGCGTGCTGCCTCTGTGGACTATTCATCACGGCTGATTCCGTTCCCCGAGACCTCTGGACGGGGTCTTATTTGCCTGGAAATCGGGGAAGTGTTTTATATTTTAACCATTTCATGAGTTATGTGTGGGTGTGAATGTGTGTGAGAGTTGCGTATTTTAGAGTGTGTACGCCCATTGCTTTGTGTACGCGGGACCAAGGACGATGATTCTTCCACTTGATAAAGGATTGTAGTGTGATCACGAGTTCTAGTGTGCTGTGCTGGGCTGGGGAGTAACCATTGGAGTGTAGTGACGTTTGAAGTGTTCACTTGGGGATCGCGATTGTCCTAGTGCGCGCGTGCTGAGTTAATGTGAGCTAGAGTCTCTTTCAATGTGTATTTATATGATGGTACTATTTTTCTAAATCAGATTGTCAATAAAAATATATATTTTCTCTAAAATCCTGTGTGGTGACGTGCCCTCTGTCCTCCATAAATTGTTAAACCTCTTTAAAGAATAATTAAGGTTTACTACAGTATTATTGTATTATCATTATTACGGGGAGGCCTATAGGCTAATTTTATTATTAAATAGATCCGCTATTATAATTAATTTGCCACGCAATATTTTCACAGCACGTTGCTGTGGAACCAACGTGCTGTGAGGATAATAAAATATTACATAATCTTACTCCTCATTAAAAATGGTCTAAAACATTTAGGTCGATTACAATGAATTATAGGCATATAAAATAACTATTAACAGTCTATAATATGTCCGAACATTGACATAATTAATCATCAATGAAAATTAAAAACAGGTTTATTTCAAAAACATTGTTTGACAAATTAAAGAGGCGTTACATCGCAGGTGGCTTGGAAGACGGTGGGTAATATTATCCATTTTGCAACACGAACTGGAGGTAAGCAACAGTAATTTGTAGTTAGTTTGAACTACAGAACTTAAAGATCTCCCTCTTTTCGTTTTTATTTTAATTTTATTTTTGCTGCAGATGAAATGGTTAAACTTCTGTTTTCGCGCAGGTGCAGTGAGGGAAAAAACACTGAGTTTAGGGCAATCGGTTCGTAGCTTTGCTTCAACTGTGCGATATAGTCACGAGGAGCGACCAAAATTTCTGACATGCCAGAAATTCATCCGACCATCCGATTGTCGATCGTGAGAGGCTAATCGCCTCTCGTTTCTCCCTGTACACTGCACGAACACTGCACGACAAACGACTCACGACAAAGCTGAAAATCGGTCCGACAGGAAAAAGAGTCGCACGAGTCAGAATTCGGCTCAAAATCGCACAGTGTATGCCCGCCTTCAAGGCCTGTTCACACCGGGACGAATTTCGCGCGCGTTATTCGTCGACGTTTAACGCCTCGTGACTAAACAATGGGCGCCAATGTGAGTTCACACCGACGCGAAAAACGCCACGCGTAAAAGCGTCATTTTTAAAAAACGACTCGGGTTCGTTTTTTT